GGCCTAATGCAGAGCAGCCCACCACTGTAAACCAGGGCCTAACGCAGAGCAAGGCTAGACCACTTGAATCTGTGAAGGTCAGGAGGAGCAGAAGCTGCAGAAACAGTCTGCAGCCAGTAGAGGCTGACTCATGGTATTCTTGACTTCATAGAATACATGTGCATTAAAAACAAAGTTTGTGGGAAGCAAATCCTCAGATTTGGTCTGCATCCATGCACTGAGGAAGCCAGCATGGAGTTTCACTCCAGGAGCAGCTCTGGCTGGTTCCTGAGGCCCTGCAGCCAGTGAGCTGCTGAAGGCTGGGAGCAGTGAGCGGCCCCTGGGCTATAGCTGGCAGGCGCTGCACATCTCTGCGTACAGCGTTCTGGTAGATGTGAGGCCATGCAACCGTGTCCCGAGAGCCGTAAAGGGAGCGTGGAGGAGGTGGAGCGGTGCCACCAGGCGCTGTGAAGAGAAAGAGCTTCCTCCTGCTCGTAGTTCCAGAGAAGTGAGGTGGAGAGGCCTCTCGTCAGCTGTGTTTGCTGGCTCTGGGTTAGAACTAGAGACAGGCTCCTGGCTGGTTGGGTAAGCAGCAAGCTGTTGGCAAGCACCTTGGCTCTGTGTGGACTGAGGCCGGGACATCTGCTGGACATGGGAGGGACCACACTGTGGTGAGGAGGCACGGTTCCAAAGAGTTTAAGGCTGCTTATGCTCACAGTGATGGCAGAGAGAGCAAGGAACTGACTCACGCATTTTACTACAAATCACGGTTTCATCACCAATAAAAGGCGAGAAAATCAGAAGTAGTAATCCCATATACAAGGAAAACATGTTGTGGGTGTATGAAGCTAGACGGAATGAAAGATGATTTTAAAGAAGAGGGTTTCTTTTTTCTTCTTGATCTGAAGTTGAATGGCTGTGACACAGAAGAGTAAGCATACAGGGTAGAAACCCCTCAAGACCCCTCGACCCCTGCGGTCAAACACTGAGGTGCCTGTCTGCCAGCCTAGCACTGGCGGCCAGGGCAACAGGATCTCAAGCTCCAGACTAATTTTGGGACCTTGTCTCAAAAACAAAACAACAGCAAAAGTCAGAAGGGCCATCCCCTACATCTGGGAAAGGCATGCCAGGCTAATGAGGCTTATTTGTCCTGTTAAATTATATAGGAAGTATTGTCATATAAGCAATGGTAAACCTTTGGGTTAATGACTATATCATTCATGTTTTCCAAAAATTATACAGTATTCACTGAAATCTGAGTCCTGTTGAAATGCTGTCAGTACTACTCAAAATTCTAGTTCTCTTACAGTGTGCACAGTAGAAAGAACTGCATTTATCTGCAGATAGCCTGGTAGTACAGGGCTTGCCTGTTAACAGTATGAGCCCTAAGGCTCTACCACCACAAAAAAGGAAGGGGAAGGAAGGAGAGAGAGTGAGTATGAACCCAGCTGTCTTGTGAGGAGTGATTGTTCTAAAGAATTCCCACCAGATCCCCAAGTCCAGCCACGCTGTCTCCTCAAACAGTTAATTTCTCTGTGTTGACATGCTTCCTCTTGAAGACTCAAGGCAAAACCCCTGACCAGCGCACAGCCACATGTAACCCCAGGATTACCCTAAGTGTGTGTTGCTAACACTCTGGGACCCTCACGGAGAATCGGATGCTTATGAGACAGCTGGTCCAACATCAGGCAGAACAGGAGCTGGCTGATGGCCACGGGGATTTGACCTGTTTTCCTGCTAGGTCAGCGAGGTGCAGAGGCTGATGGGTAGATAGCTGGTGAACTTGTTGGGACTGACCTCCACCACATGCCCAGCGCTGTCCCGTTTAACAAGATGTGGAACCCAGGCTACCTGTGGGGCTGTATGGCCCCACGTGGCACGGGCAGCTGCCTCATCTTTTCTGAGCCATCAGTCTTCTGTCGTTCAGAGTTTTGTGTTGTAATTCATCATGAATTAGGGACGGTGTCACAGAGTCTCGAAAAATACTGATGAGGTGAGAGGCCCAGGATGCTGTGGTTTACGGCCAGTCGATGGTTTGTCAGGCCTGTCATCCCGAGAGGACGGAGATGCGGGTGGCCTGTCTCTACGGCTGATGGCAGCCTGTCTTCACAAAGGGTAAAGACAGGTGGGAGAGGATGAGAACCTCCTTGCATGTTGTTCTCACAGTTTCCATGCAGGAAAACTGATGTTACAACAGCAGTGATAATGCTCTTCTGAAGTGCCCCGCTGTGGGGCATTCCTGGAGAGATTCCGAACGACACACTGCACTGACTTCTTTACAATGGGACGGTTGAAGAAGGCGTTAAATACAGTGGCCCGGGCCCTGTCACCCTCGCTCCTCTCACAAAGATGAAGGCTGGGCAGTGCTGTCGGTTAGATTGTCTCATCAGTGATGCTGTCGAGGTTGGAAAGGACAAACTCCAGCTTTGAAGATAGCCTGACTGTGGGTGAAGTCCTCCCACACAACCCCACGTGCAGCAGACAGAAGCCACCACTGCAGCAAAGATGACTCTTGAACACTTATTTTGATATGTATGAGTGTATCTGTGTATGTGCATAAGTGTGTATAGATTCGTACCACATAAGTGCAACTTTGACACTGGGAGGTCAAAGAATCCATGTGATTCATTTCTGGTAGATTTTGGGAACAAATACGCAATCTCCCTCAAGCATGCCTGTACTGAGGAAATGACCCCGAATTAGAATGTGTAAGTGCAGGGGTTGGAGGTCAGTTCAGTGGTTAGAGGCACTTGCCCTGTAATCATAAGTAGCAGAGATTGGATCCTACAAGGCCAGAACCATCTGCAAAAACACACAATGCCAGCTCAGGGAGGAGGCAGAGCACAGAGGACACCAGGATTTCCAGCCTATCTCCCACAGGGTGATGCTAGATTCAGGGAGAGACCCTACTCAAAAGAAAGGCAAAGAGTGGTAATGATACCTGCTGCCCTCTTTGGCCACTGTTTGTGGACACAGACACAGACAAACACACACACACACACATAATATTTAGTAAATAAATAAAATATAAAAATTTAGTTGAACCAGAATTTAGTTTAACCGGAAATTATAACTTTGGCAACAATGCAACTGTTAGAAGACCAATGGGAAACTAAGCCTTAAACAGGACAGGACATTTAGAGTTTAAAAAGTGAAGTGTGATGACATGCAAATTTATGCAACAACATTGTGAAGCGACCCCTGAAACACCAGTGGCAGCCGGGGAGGGGAAGGAGAAAGTGCGAGCCTTGACTTCACAGGTGGGCTCTGTGACCAGACGAAAGTGAACCACTCACACGACCTCAGAACAAATACACAAAAGTAAGCAGACTCCGTGTCGTGCTGAGCAATGGAGACTGGAAATTACTGAGGTGGAAAGGGTTCTGCTGGGCCAAGAGTGTGGGGCATGCCTTTAGTCAGAGCATCTCTGAGGCCAAGGCCAGCCTGGTCTACTCGGGGAGCTCCGTGCCATCCAGACTACGGAGACTGCAACTCTCAAAAACAGGAACGGGCGTGTGTGGAGGGCAAGAGGGTGTGTGGCTGGTCATGTATTTAATATATTACTGCTCGGTTCGGCTGGGCATTTTATATGTTACTGGTTGATATAATCCATAGTTTTTGTGCAAACTGTGGCAATTACTTTGAGGTTTCAGACATCCAAAAAAGCAATTTAGGGCCTGGTGAGATGGCTCAGAGGGTAAGTGTGCCTGCCGCCAGGCCTGGTGACCTGAGTTCAATCCCTGGGCCCACAGACTGGCTCCTGAGGGTATCCTCTGCCCTCTGTGTGCACAAGGCAGAATAGACATGCCCCCTCCCCTGTGAAAACCCTCTTCGGCTGCGTGACCCTCACGTGTTTGTCTCTCCAGTGGAAGCACTATATCCTGTGTGACGGGAGCCCCGACCCCTCCATAGCCCAGGAAATAAATACATTCATCAGCCTGTGGGAAGAGGAGACCAATGAGACCTTCGAGCAAGTGGTCGAGAAGAGCAAGCTGGTGCTGTCCGTAAGTACTCAGGAGTGCCCAACACCAAACTTGAGGGCACTTGCGGTGATTGTGACTGCCCTGAGCGCAGCCTGTGCTTCTCAGCCCCATGACCCATCTCACGGAGCAGAGCACGGACACTGAGTGTGCGCTGCTCTGTCTCGGGGAGGCAAAAGAGCATTGCATGTGTTTAAGGAGCTGCATCCGTTGCTCTGGCTTGAGTTTTAAGTGTGCCTGATTGGTGCTCTGGTGAGTGCTGGGAGTTTTAAGAGTTGGGTTCTAGTGGGAGGAAATGAGATCAATAGAGTATGTTCTTAAGGGGGATGCAGGGGTCCTCTTAGGCTTGGCACTGCTCTGCTCTGCCCTTCCCTCCCCTTTCTCCTCCCCCTCCTCACCTTTTCAGTGTATGGGCTAATGGCTCTCCCTTAATGGTTCTCCCTGAGACTGTTTCATGTACGTCATTGTGCTCAGATTTACCTTCTTAGGCCCTGTGTTAAGAGTTTGATCCCACATGTGTCAACATGCCTTCCAAGAATTGCCAAAGTTACCTGTGCTGCCAAGCAACCAACTTTAAATTGGGTTTGCCAACTTTCTTCTTGGATGAGATACTCTGGCATAATGGCTCACCAAACATAGAAAGCGGGTCCTTAAGCCCGTTACAGCTAGATGAAGAAATATCCAGGGTACAATATGTGAGGAAGGTGGGGATGGTCTCCTGTGTTCTCTACGTGTTCTGCATGCTGAGCAGCCTGATGTGTTCACCAACTAGAAGGTTCTCTGAACCCTGTCATTAAGGGGGTGTTAAGGAAGCATCATGGTGTATGCAGGGTGAAGCATCCCTCAGGCTGAGGAGAACGGTGGCCACCCCCACCCCCACCATCACCTGTTACTTCTGTGTCCTCCTGTCCTCCGGGGCACCTCACAGCATAAGCTCACATGGCTGAGGTTGACTTACTACAGAACCAGTTTCTTCCACCCTGGCCCACAGTCTTGTTAAAGAGCCGCAGAGGATCAACTGAGATGCTGTCAGCTGCTGATGAACAGTGCTGAGCTGGCTGCTGAGAGCTTTGTGTCCATGGGGTTGGACGTGTCCATGGGAATTCTTTGGAAGAAATGTTTTCTTTTCCTCTGTGACCTTAAGTTACAGAAGATGGGAACAGATGTCTTTTGATCTAAAGTGACAGGCCATCCCCTTTCCACGTCCCTTTGCTTTTTCCAGTTGGGTGATGTAATACTCTTTCCATTTCAGTTGATTAAGAAGCTAAAGTTAATTTTGCTGGAAACCCCAGCGAGTGACCTGGACAAAAGGACTGTCACGCAGCACCAGCAGTCGATCCTGCGCCTGCAGGAGCTCCTCAGCCTGAAGGTGGACGTGGCCACAGAGCTGCTTCTCCGAGTACGGGCAGCACCTCTCCTACAGCAGCGCTGTTAGCAGGCGCCATATCATGGTCTGCCGACCTCTCTAAAAGCCTTCAAATAGTCCAGGACGATGAAGGAGCTGTGCTGACGGGATTTAACAGCTGTTGATAGTTTTTTTTCTGAAGGGATAAAACATTATCAGCCAAAAGCTCATTTTCCTTATATTTGCCCAAAGTTTACTTTTAGAAAGTAACATGAGATCTCCCTTGTAGATAATGTAGTTCATATAGATATCAATTACATCCTGTTTTTCTCCAATTTTTATTTTGGAAGCATTTAAACATGAGATTTAAAAAGTGTTCCCATGTGTGCTTTATGTGAACAATGAATTTTCAGCTTTATCTATAATTTATAGATGAACATCAACATTTTAAATGTTTTGTGATATTTTATTTTGTCTTGTACCATTCAGAAGTTTGTGTGTTATGTATTTTATTCCCAAATATTTCAGCAGTGATGATAAGATCCAAGTAACTGTCAGAACTCTCACCAGCTTCCTGCCTCTGCCTTGCTGACATTCCAGGAAGCACCAGACACTGGCAGAGGTCCTGGGGACCCAAGCTTTGGTCCCCACACCTGGCGGTCACTTTAGCCATTGAGCTGGCTTCTTGGCCTCTCAAGTTTGTTTGTTTGTTTCCAGAAAGATTCTTTGCCATTTTGATTTAAACTTATTTTTACACAGATTATTCTTTTAATAGTCCAAGGAATCTGATATTTGGTGATTATGTGGCTTTCCTACGCTCTGAGGGTTTCTGAGGCCTTTATGTCTTTCTCTTACAGCAAGCCAGCACCTTAGCAGATTTGGACAGCGGGAACATGGAGAAGATCATCCAGGATGAGAACATCACCCTGTATGTGTGGGCAAACCTCAAAAAGAATCCAAGGTACCGCCCCTGCCAGTTGCCCTGCCTATGCCACAGACAGCGGCGGACAGCAGCGCGGCTTGAAGCCTCGTCATTAGCCCTGTAGGAGTCACTGCAGCCAGCGTCTAGTGCAGCCATGACTTCGCCTGGTCACGTGTGTGTGTGTACATGTGCACACGTAGAAAAAACACCCGTGTACATAGGAAATAAATAAAACTTTCAAAAATCTTAGGAGACCTCTCGCCCACCTCAGCCCTGCCAAAACTGGCCTTGAACTGGTGCTTCTCCTGTTCAGCTTCCCCAGTGCTGCAGGGTCACAGGTGTATGACGTCAGGTCTGGCTCTGAGCTGCTTCCTTAACATTTCGTAAAAGAGGGGAACGAAATATTTTCCCAGTTATATTTTCTACAAAATGCTGTGGTTTCTAGTGACTTCAAGACAATGTGTCAGCTTTTTTTGTTTTGAGAATGCAACAAAACATGGAAGGAAATTCATCTGTAGGAGAGTTAGCTGGCATGCTTTCCTGCCTAAGGTAGCATGCTTTTCTGCACACGCTGGCAAGCTTCCCTGCAGTGGGCATAGGCAGGTCTGGCTTTCTTCTGATAGTGATAGGAGAGGATTGCAAGGCTCAATAGTGCTGACCGGCGAGTGCCCAGATGATATCAATGAATGGCAGGCACTGAGAGAAGTCTGCAGTGGGTATGTTTGGAGAATCATCGGCGATAAGCCAGTGTTCTCAGCAACATAACCATGACATATGTTCACACATATGGAAGGGTCATTTGGACCCTCTTAGAGTTCATTCAGGGAGGCCTCTTCCTCCCCTTCTCACTAGGAAAACCAGAACTCATGCTGAATCTCCAATAAAGTGAGCAGTAACTGAAGCTGTAGAATGACCAGGAAAGAGGTCTGGGCAGAGCGTGAGAGGCTCCCAGGAGAGACAGAAGCGTGGGTGGGCTGGACTGAGCATGAGAGGCTCCAGCGTGGGTCTGGAACCCAAGAGTGTTCTGAGAAACACTGGCTCCCAGTGCTCGCAGGTAAGGTGAGCACAGGCCACAAGGAGGTCATTGAAACAGACTCCCTGCAGTGTGAGCTGCAGTGTGGGCGTTGCATGTGTGTGGTGTGGGTGTGTGGCGTGAGATCCAGATCATCTCCAGGCTCATCCTCTTCGTGTCTGCCGATTAATCACTGGCAGGTACCGAACTGTGAAATTCTCTGGAACAGAAATTGGATTTGAAATCCCAAGGATACTGGCTGCAAGCAACATTGCCCTTCGGCTCCTACACACGCGCTATGATCATGTCACCCCCTTGTGTCCCACTGCCTTCGCTGAGGAAGCAGAACAAGTCCTCGAGGTTACGGAGCATCTCGAAAAAAAAGAGAGTACGGGAAAGGCCGTCACTGAAGAGAAAGAGAAGGCCGAAGAGAAAGAGAAAGCCGAAGAGAAAGAGAAAGCTGAAGAGAAAGCTTCTGACGAAGAAGAGCCCCCTGAGATGATAGAAGAGCAAGAGTTCAGCATAATCCAAGAGGAGGAGCCCAAATTTGAGGAGACTCCAGAGCTCACTGAAGAACAAAAGGTAGGATACTCATCTGTCTGTCTGCCTGGCTGCCTGTGGCAGCATCTCATACTGCATAGCAGGCTAGGTAGCCCACGCTTGCCTCAAACTTACAGCAATTCTCCCGCCTCTGCCTCTCAAGGGCTGGGACTGCAGGCATGAGTCACTCAACTCAGGCTGACATCTTGTAAGAGTATCTGTTTTGCTCTGTGCATTAGAAATTAGCAGCAGAGAACACCAGGAAGTATTCTCAAGACTTATCCTGAGCAAATAGAAACCATTTTGAAGCCCCTGTGTTGCTGGTGCCCTGGTGTGTCTCTAGTGTCGCTAGTGTGTCTCTCTCCCCTCTGTTCAGTCAGTACACAGAGGCGCCGCAGCTGCAGCCGCAGCTTCCAGGTTCTGCATCTTTGTGTTCCACTGGCTGCTGCAAAGTCTGGAGGCCAGGGTGTGGAGCCGTTGCTGCACATTGTCAGCAGCTTCAGGGCAGCTGGCCCTTGAGTAGAAATGTGCAGCAAACGCTCCTGCAAACTTAGGGGTCTGTTTTCTGCTATTTCCCCAGCACTGGCTTTCTAAGATTTGTTTTTGAAACCTGGTCTCACTATGTATCCCTCGTTGGTGTGGAACCAGCTCTGTAGACCAGGCAGGCCTCTAACTCACAGAGATCTGCTTGTCTCTGCCTTCCAAGTGCTGTAATTAAAGGTGTGCACCAGCAGGCCCAGGTAAGTGGTTACCTTAACTGTGTCTCTTGGGGATAAGGCAGAGAGTGATAAATCAGGACATCCAGAAGCTAGCTCTACCCAGAGGACCTGTGCGCACCCTATTACAAATTACGGCAATCCTGTCTGCGGTTGGCTTCTGCATATCTTCCAGCTGTTGAGATCTTCATGGTACATGTTATGTTAGAACAGCTTTTGGTGTGAACAGTTCTTTCTCAGCTCAAACCCACTTTGTTTGCCATTGCCCACTAGAATTTTAGGTAACTTCAAAACCTCAGCCTGAGCACATAAGACAAGAAGTATATTGATTTTATCCATTTATTTTCTTTAAGTGTAGAAAGAGTTAAGGAATAGACAGTGTATTTGAAATATTTGAAATAAAAATGTCATTTGGGCCCTGAATGGCTCAGTGGACAAAGGTACCTGCAGGCCTAAGTTGTTCCACAGGGCATTCTTGGTGGAAGGAGACGACTAACCCCTGAACCCTGCTCTCTGACCTCCATACATGTACACAGGCACAAACACACATCCATGCCATCCATACACAAATAAATGTAAATTCTTAAAATTTGAATCATTTGATATTCTAAGAACATGTTGAACATTTTTGTTTGAAATACAACAGTTGTAACAACAACAAAAAATCCAAAGAACCTCGGAGTCTAAAGCCATAGAGAAAGCAGAGGGAGGTGACTCAGCACAGATAGCTGTGCTGTGTGGGATTGTAACAGGGGGAGTGCAGAGGCCCGGGCGGACGAGACCTGGGAGGTGGCAGGGCTGCTGCAGAGTGATAAATGACGGGGTATTTTCATTAAAAATCCGCCAGTTGGAAGCAGAAGCGGGCACATCTTTGTGATCAGGGCCAGTGTGGTTTCCATACTGAGGCTTTGTCCAAAAACCAAACATTATCCTCGAGAAATAAGATTCTTCTGTTCAGCTTCACCCCACTGCGGAAGTGGTAGCTTTCTTGGTGATCAGCACTTCTGGTTGTTCTTTTTCCCCAGGGGGAGTAAAGATTGTGCCCAGCTTCCCCGAAGGTCAGGCGTGACACAGGCAGCAGTGTGTGTGTGAGGGTGGGACATTGCCCTGAGCACAGCATCCTTTCAGTGTGAGTGGACACCGACAATAAGATGGGAAGATATGAGGTAGGCTTAACTTACAGCACGGCAAGAGTTTCAGCCTGGAGGCCACGAGAATAAACAGAAAGGTTGTTAGGAGACAAGAGAGCTTCCAGCCCCCTTAGTGTTAGGTAGTTCTCACCGGGCACCCAGTGGCTTGACCATAGCCGAAATGTGACATGGAGCTACCCGGGTCTCACACAAGAATTACATTAACTTAAAAGCTGCAAAACAATAATTAGAAGCTATGTCACCTGAGCCATGGCTGGATTTTACAAAACTAAAGCAGAATGTCTTATACGTACAACTCAGTTAAGGTGGCCTCATGGAGTCATGATTTGTCATTCTATCAATTTAGGTAATTTAAAAAACAGTTTTAATAAAAGATACTGCTTTTAGTTTTAGTTATGCAAGTACCTTTGGGTACTTGAGCACAGTACCAGAGGAGGCCAGCGGAGGGTTGCAAGAACCCCACGAGCTGAAGTCACTGATGATTTTGAGTTGCTTCACTAAGGTTCTGGGAAACAACTCAGATCCTCTGGAGGAACAGCAAGTGCTCTTACCTGCTCTGAGCCATCTCCAGGCCTGGGATGATTTTATGTTAAAGGCTTAAACCTATGAATGCATAAGCACACTGACAGGACCGTGTGGTGGGCACTCACACTGGTTTCAGTAGGCGGTTGCTTTACTCTCTGACCTTGAAGGACCAAGCTTAGAGACCCTGGACCCTTAGTCTGAGTGGCCATGGAGAGCAGGCCTTGTCTGCCTCTGTTAGTTTAGTGTTCAGTGCTGCACTGGGCAGTTTCTGTTTGCTGTTGGGCAGTTTCTGTTTGCTGTGATGACTGGAGAAGCACAAAGATTCCAAATGGCATCCTGCAGCATACCCGAGACAATAGTCGGAACCCTGAAGCAGGAAGCTCCAAGGAGCTTCAAAAGCTTCCCCAGAGCGTGAGGCCAGAATTGCTTTACACCGATACCTGGTACAGTCTGATCAGCAAGAAGATGAGAGATGGGCATTTCCAGGAGGCACCCTCTCAACACATTGGGCACATGGTGCTGCCATACCTCCAGCCTCCAGTACGTGACATGGTGCGGAGGGAATGTGTAGGATGTCCACAGGGCAGTGCCACGGACCAGCCCAGTCAGATTCCCTGCGTCCGTGGGGAACAAGGCTCTGGACAGGAAGACGCGGTTTCGGCGATGAATTGACAGACAGAGACACCTTGATGGTTTTGGCTCTGCTGTAATTTTACTGAAGTCAAGCTGATAATTTTATAGTGAGTTCACAAAAAGGCACCTTAAAGTTGGCATACTTCCCAGAACATTTAGACTTTTACCAAGAATACAGAGTTTACATTTTAACATAGGGGAGTGCCCACAAAAATCTTGGCTTAAAAACTTTTGATCAAAAGCAGACAAAGGGAAAGAGACCTCAAATGTAGTTTCATTATTGCTAACCAGTGAAGAGGAAAGTCAGGAGCTAAGTCAGATGCCTGCCAAAGTCTAAACACACCTTTGTCAACCATCCTCCCATATGTCCTGCTAAAGATTTATGATCTTCCCTAGGAACAAGACGCTGAAGGGAGGAGTAAACTTGTGCCAGCTGTACTTCTCATGTTATTTTTTTCTTAAGAAGGAGCCCATTATTTTTTCACTATTCTTATAATGCTTATTGATACTGAATCTGATTTGTTACTTTCTTAAGCTTATTTTTTTACATTTTATTCTTATTAAAGCATTTAATAATTTACTAGTGATAAATTTCTTTGTAAAATTAGTTGTGCTATTTCAGGAGTCACAGAGAAAAATAAAAAAAACCTCATTAATCCACCCTCACAATTGTAACCGAAAAAGCGTAGAGACCCTAGACTGCGTCTTTTTGACTTAGGTGGTCGGGAAGACCCGACAGTGGCCTCCAGGAGCAAATTTCCGAAGAAAGCCTGTCTCCCGCCCTGTAGCACAATCTATTGATAAGCTAGACTGGCGACGCTGGAGTGGGTGTGGCAGGGCAGAGGTGCCCAGGCAGGATGGCACTCAGAGCCTTTGATGGGGGCTTGCTCCCTGGTGGATTAAGGGGACCAGGTTTCCGTTAAAGGCTCTCTAGAGCTGTCTCCTCCTCACCCTCCTTATCTGTGCCTCACACGAACCCCTTTCCTCGACATCTGGACATTTGTGCAGCCTCTCTCACTGTAAATCTAAGAGCTGTGAACAGTGCTCACAGCTCAGCCTGGGTGTGACTGTCTTAAAATGTCTTCTGTCAGACAACCTCATTCAAGACTTTTGGATCCAGCCTCATTCAGAGTTTTGGGAACTGGGCAGGGTGAAGCCAGATCCTCTGCTGGGATGTAGCGTAATCAGCTTCCCGCCTAGTTCCCAGGACCCCTCCTTCCCTCTGAAGCCTCAAGCTATAACCGGTCTGAAAAGCTATACTCTCTACTGTTCTCTCAGTATTCTCATCTTCCAAACGTCCACCAGAAGGGCCCACTGAGCTCTGCGTACAGATTTCCAGGCCTTCTCTGGCCTATGGCTCCAGCCAGTTCCATACCCTCCCAGCCAAGTTCCAAAGCTGCTATCTCGAGGCCGAGCTGCTTACAACCACTCCTTGCACTGAATTTTCTGTGCTTGTTTTCACTGCTGGGAGAAGATGCCAGACACAAAAGACTTAAGGAGCTAGGGTTTGTTTCATCTCATAGTATGACTGGATACAGTGCATCCCTGGAAGGCTTGGCAGACAGAGTGCATCCCGGAAAGGTGTGGATACAGTGCATCCTGGAAGGTGTGGCATCAGGAGCCCCACCAGCTTCTGCAGCCAGGTAGCCAGGAGAGATTGAGTTTTAGTGCTCAGCTATCTTTTATTCTTTCCCTTTTTATTTAGGTTGAGACTCCAGCCGATCAACTCTGTGGTGAGGGTGGAGCTAGTCAAATTGACAGTGAAGATAAATGTAAATTTGAAATTAATTCTCTTACATTAAATGACATTGTAGGTTTCTTTTTCATGAGCTTATTAAGAAGTTGGCCACTGTGCTGGATATGGCGCCACACACCTTTAATCCCAGCACTTGGGGGGCAGAGGCAGGTGGATCTCTGTGAGTTCAAAGCTAGCCTGGTGTACAATCTGAGTCCAGGACAGCCAGGGCTTGTTACACAGAAAAACCCTGTTTTGAAACAAACAAACAACAACAAACAAAGAAGTTGGCCACTAAAGGGCTCTTAAGAGCATCTCTTGATTTAAATGGCTTTTAAAATATTGTAGCTGTAGCCTAAATTTTTCATAGCACAACGTATTTAGAAAGGCCTAATTTGAGTATGGCATAATTATGAGAAATTACTCAAAGTAGTGCATTCTAAATAGTGATTAGTTTCCGAAATATTTTATTACCCTGAGGAATAAGTACTTAGACAAGGGTCTTTGAATTGAAAGTTCAAGTTACAAAGTGTCTCTTCAAGGAGCTCTGACCCGGAAATGCAGCCCAGTGGAAAGGTGTCGGCTGGCATGTGTGTGGCTTTGGGTTAAATCCCCACCCCCTTTAAGAGAAAGATTGAGCAAGCATGGAAGAGAGTAGTGTGCCAACAATCCTGCTCGTGAACGCACACACACTCGCACACATGCGTCCATGCGCACCATGTACGCATACACTCAGTGCACATGCAGGGGAGCACACACATGCAAACATGCTAACTCTCGGGCAGTACCCGATATATGGAACAGCCTAACCTTGCTTTCCTTTGCTTATAAGTGCGCTGGGTACTAGAGAGTGAACCTAAGATTCTGTGTGTGTAACCTCTGCTCTCCCGTGTGCGACCTCTGTGCTCTGTGTGTGACCTCTGTGCTCTGTGTGTGACCTCTGTGCTCTGTGTGTGACCTCTGTGTTCTCTGTGTGACCTCTGTGCTCTGTGTGTGACCTCTGTGCTCTCCCGTGTGACCTCTGTGCTCTCCCGTGTGTGACCTCTGTGCTCTGTGTGTGTGACCTCTGTGCTCTGTGTGTGACCTCTGTGCTCTCCCGTGTGACCTCTGCTCTCCCGTGTGTGACCTCTGCTCTCCCGCTGAGTGATCTTGGGAGTCTGTTGCTCTCTTGCTTGTCTGAATTCGGTGTTTTGAAATAGGCTCTCAGGTAGCCCGGGCTAGCCTCAAATGGCTATGTAGCTCAGGATGACCTTGCACTTCTGATTCTCCTACCTTCACCACTGAGTGCTGGGATCACCCTGTGTTTTGCAGTGCTAAGGCTCGAACTCCTGTCCTCCTCCATGCTATCCAAGCACTTTTCCCCCTGGGCTACCTCTCCAGGCCACTGACTTGTCTCTAGTGAGCTGTGTTCTGGGTATACACTGACGTGTACTGAAGCACCTGCGAGTGAGCTTAAGACACAACCTAGATCAGCAAAGCAGCAGCTTAAGGGGTTTCCTGGGAATGCTATTATTTAGGCTAAGTACTAGAAACTGCTGGTGATGAGTGGGTTTGTTCCTTCGGTTTGGTTTTTGAGAAAGGACCTCACGCTGCTCCAGGGTGGCTGGCATGCAACTTACAGAAACCCACCTGCCTCTGCCTCCCTAGTGCTAGGATTAAAGGCATGCACCTCCACACCAACTTTGATGTTAGATTTTTTTAATGGGTTCACTTCATGGATTTCAAGTTATACAGTACCAAATGTGCCCAAATTTCTAGGCTGTTCCATGGACAGACATCTACCTTTTTCAAATAGAGAGTAATTTCCAAGGATGAGGCGGCCGGTGCTCATGGCTTCCTGCTTTGTTACAGATTTCCTTTGAGGAAGAAGAAGATTCCTTAACCGTCAAACATGAACTGGAGTTGAAGTTGCTCAGTGAAGTTGTATCTGCAGGTATTGTGGTCGCATCCTCAGTGTGTAATGGAGGCTTTCCTCACAGAAAGAAGGCAAGAGCGAGGCGTGATGACACATGCCTTTAGTCCCAGCACTGGGAGGCAGAGGCAGGCGGATCTCTAGAAGTTCCAAGCTAGCCTGGTCTACAGATCAAGTTCCAGGACAGCCAGGCTACACAGAGAAATCTTAACTCTAGAAAGAAATGTGTTCAAAGCAGAAATTCTTCACGGTCCCTCTCCCAAGATAAGTGATGTTAGTCTCCTGTTCGGTGTCTCTCACTATGCACTTTTTGTGAAAGCATATCAGATAATACACTTCTATCAACAATCATGTTTTTCTACTCAGTATTAAGCTTTGTGCCTGGAAAAATGTCCTCGGCAAATGATATTCAGCGTTGATCCCAGATCCATCCGTAAGCTGCCTTATCAGCTAAAGCAGCTGCGTAGGGGGAGCACATACAGGGGGGCACTATCTCCATCCCTGTTGCTAGTGAAATCAGCCCTGACCTCTCTGCACTCACTGCTGCAGTGAACACTCATGAGCACACATGGGGACATACATGCCGGAGCCCGGCAGTCTTGGCCTGGCAGGCAGTGCTAAATGCCCTTTGGAAAGGTGAAGGTGCTCATATGCCTGGCTTCTGTCTGATGGCGTCTGTCTGTCCTCCTCATTCTCACTATGCTTGTTTCTCGGTGTTCCACATACTCCAAGTATATCTGCTATCACACTTAAGTCTTTGTAGTCTTCTACTCAATTATCTATATATCCTGAGGCAGTGTCTCACGTAGCCCAGGCTGGTTCAAACTCTGTGTGGCTGAAGATGACCTTGAACCTCTGATCCAACTGGCTCCACCTCCCAAGTGCTGGGATCACAAGCATGCCCCTGGCTTTATATGTGGTGCGGGCTTGAACTAGGCCAGCACACTCCCTGTCAGCTACACTACTGGGGATCCTTGGAATGTCTCTGCAGCCTATTCCAGGGGAGGTTTTGTTTTTCTCCCCTAGACCCATGATGCTAGAGTAGGCTGAGGAACTTCTGTCTTGAACACCATAATCCCCTGTGTGGTGTCCCCCAAGTCAGAAGCATCATCCCATCTAAATTTGGGCAGAGTACTATTTCTGGCTTCTTTCTGGGCCAATAAATTATAACTGAAATATTTTTAAATTTTAAAGAATGTTGTTTATTAAGCATGCTTGATTTATTTTGCATACTCCCATTAACTTCCAGCACCCGGTCTCCAGAGGCTAAACTCAGGACCCTGCTGGGCCTCTTTCATGGGAGCTGACTGAGAGTACACATCATTGCCCATCCCCGAGTCTTATTGCCTGCTGGTGCTGCCTGCTCTACGTGCCTGTCATTCCCCCTCCAAGATCAATAGCACAGCTTGAACACCGTGCAGATTTTGTGGTTGAGGAAACCTGGACAGGATGTATTAGCCTTTTCAGGGAGGGTCAGGGCCACATTGCCTAGTCCTGGCCAGCCTAGCACTCATCTTGTGGACCAAGCTGGTCTCAAGCTTGCATTGAGGCTCCTGCCCACACCCCGAGAGCTGGTACTGGAGGTGTGCACACTCCTGAGTCATGTGTCTCGGACAAAGCCTGACCACTGCTCAGGGGCATGTTTCTAAGTGGCTGGCTTTGTCTTGGTGAATGGTAGGAACAGCCGTGCTGACTGCAGGTGTCCCTTTTGGCTGTGCACACAGATCGCTAGATCTCAGACTCCCCACAGAATTCTCACTTCATGCCTTCCTTGGACTTTTCTCTGAGCTGGGCCTATTTTTGTTTAAATATCCATTTTTCGTATGGTACATGGGCCAAAATCTGCTTTTCCATCATGAACTTCCTACCTACCTTCTTGGGATTTTTAGTTTGGTAATGTCCAGATTTAAGGACTAAGTTTATCAATTATCTGTAATAATAATTTATATTTTAGAGCTCTTCTATTTAGCCATTCTAGCTTCCAAAAGTGAGACAGAATCTCCTAAGATTTATGAATAAGCTTGAGGCTCGGTAACTGGGCAGACACCCATTTATCCTAATCCTCTCAGGGTCTGGCTACTTTCCAGGCACAGCCCTGTGTTGCTTGACATACTGTCCTATCTGGGCTGTTTCTTTTTCATCAGGCCACATACTTTCTCTCTGTCTCCTTCCTTCTGATGTCTCCTTCTTCCTCTCCCTCCCTCTCCTTATGTTCCCTACCTGAGACCCCAAGACTGGGAACAGAAGTTCCACCTACCTCTCTTCTGCCCAGCTACAGGCTGTCAAGCTTTTTTATTAACCAATCAGAGATTATTGGAGAGCAAAGTTTACACAACATTGATCGTGTATGTGACAATGCCCTCATCCAGACTGCAACCAGATTTTAGGGCTCGGAATTAAGCACAAAGCACCAGACCAACCCCCAATTATCAAATTTTTATCAAACTGTTTGTCTTTTAGGAGATAGAGTTGTACCAATGCTCATTATGTGTAGCCTCCTACAATGATAGTGTGTGTTGCAAACAGAGCCCTTCCTACCCTACCACGCACGCACGCACGCACGCACGCACACGTGTGCACGTATGCACACACACACCTGCTCCCGCATATAGGTGGCTAGTGAGCCACTTGGAGAACTTTGTGCAAAGCCTCCTTAAGCAGTGCTGGGATCTTGTTTCTATTCCCTCCCGACACACCAATGCTCTCTTTTCTGACCTGCGCTACCTGTGGTTGGTTTTAGCACAGATGCACCTGATAGAGAAGGCGGAGGAGCGGGAAACCAGCAAAGACCATGAGGTGGACTTGTGCCACTTCGCCACTCTGGGGGGAGTGTACCACCTGGACATCCTGGAGCTGCCCCCTCAGTGCAAGCCAGCGAACGGCTGGATGTTGGTGGAGGTAGGAGACTCTGAGTTTAAGTTACAGGTGAAATTGTGACACTTTTACTTCATTTCTTGTGATCTCAGCATCTAATGCGCATTAATCCTATTTTTCAGAGAAAGCCTTACCTATTAACTTCATTGTAAACCTCATGCTAATGCCCCCGAGTGTCCTTTGGTCCCCTGGGTGGGCTGCCAGTCTCCACCAGAGCTCGGCAAGCTTCTGCCTCTTACATGGCCAGGTGCATTTTCACCTTGGCAGGCCACCTTGACCGAGAACCCCCTTTTTACCCCTGAAGCCTGGAAAGGAAAGGAGTGGGCACGCCTGTGTTATAGTCCAGATGTGCTTATCAGAGCATCAGTGGGGAGGTGAACCTCCTGCCTCAGCCACTGAGTGCTAGGATTATAAGCACGCACTGTTCTACCTACTTTATTTTAAAATATCTATTCCCAATACCTGGGAAGAAACCTGAGTCCTTACCCATGCTAGGCCAACTGATCATTTCAGCAGTGCCTCTCAGAAATTTACAAAAAAATCGAAGTTATGCCAAAATCTTAAGTCAAAGGCTTGACTGTGAGTAAGGCCCTGTGTTTGACCCCAGGCCCCAGAAAACAAGCAGCCCCCACTTGTCCCCTCAGCATCACTTGGCGCATCTGGCTTGGCGGTCCCATGCTCTAAGCATTTGGAGAAGAACTTCCAGGTCTGTGCAGACACTTTTCCCCTGATCACTCCAGTAAAATCTCAGTAGCGCAGGTGTGCTGTGCTCTGCTCTGCGTGCTATATGTGTTCCTGGGTTTTATCTGCAAGATTCTTTGTGCCCACCCAACTGGTTCAATCCAGCCCTCCGGCCCCTCTCCCCTGTGAAATAAGAGCAAGCCTGGGGGAGACCATGTGGTCTGCACACACAGCAGAGCATGCAACATACAACAGGGTGTGGGGGTGGGGCAAACTAAGACAGTTGTCCGTTTGGGGCTGATGGTGTAGCTCAGGGGTGGGAGCTTGCCTAGAAAAAGACATCCCTCAGAGAAGGCACCTTCAAGACGTTCACATGAAGGCTCAGCTGGAGCCAGCTGCTCTGGAATTCCGTCAGTGTCCTGCTTCTCCTCTCTGTGCTCGGCACCTCACAGAATCCTCCTGCACAGCTGTGGGGCTCCTGACAGGGCCCTGTGCACTCACTGCGAGGCTCTTTCTCGACTCTTCTGTAAGAACATTCTTCTGGGTTTTCAGAGCCCTCATCTTCCCCCATGTCTTCTCTCCATGTTGACTCAAATGGGCCACAGCCCTGCCTTACCTCAGGAATCTGCTGTCATCTTGAGGCCTCCACCCTCCTTCCTGAGCTGCTCCAGGCACCAGGCACCGCACCTCTCTTCTGTTGCCCTGTGCCCTCCATTAAAATACTAGCCTGAGTGACTCTGGGCCCCGTGGGAGGTCCTGATGTTGGTGTGAGCTTGAAGTCTTGCAGTCTTGGCCAGGTCTCCTAGCTGTGCCGTGGTTATCAGTTCTGCTCAACACGGGCTTCTCGTGGGGCTTGACATGTAAGTGGTGCAGAAGACCTCTCAGAGCTTGACCCACAGGCAGCTCCGTGGTGACAGTTCAGGTTGTCAATGCCCCCCTCCCCATCATTTATCTCTAGGTTTTCTTACGGTGGCTCCTAGATGCCTGTGTCAGGAGCACAGCTTGACAGTAATATGCGTGTCTGGCCATTGCCACCGCCTTCTAACTTTCATCATTCTGGTCACTTTAAAAGATACTCCAAGATGGATTACAGAGGTTTACATATCCTCCAGAAATCATAGAAGAACCGGATCCAGAAAATGCCTATCCACCCCTAGAGGTCACGCTGGAGGTCCATGAGAACGTCGTCTTCTTTCAGGACCCTAAGGTCATAGTGTGGGACGCTGAAGGTACAGCCTCAAGCAAGAGTGCAGTGCAGATGAGGGCGATCCCCTTCCAGCCTCCACCTCCTTTCCTCCTCCTCCTTCCTTCCTCCTCCCTCCATCTTCCCTCCCTTCCTTTCTTCCCTTCCTCCCTCCTCCTCCCTCCATCCTTTTTTTCCTTCCATCTTCCCTCCTTCCCTCCTTCACCCTCCCTCCTCCCTCCATCCTTTTTTTCCTCCCTCTGCTTTCTGCTTACACCTCAAGAGACGACTAGCCTGTTTCTCAACATGGCTGCACCATCTTAAAAGTTCTGTTCATGTCATACACCCTTGATGACACTGGTCATCTGCGCAGTGTCCTGAAGGATAGTTTACTAATGACCAGCGCTAGACACCTGTCTGGTTATGTGTTAGACTTGCAGCCATGCTGTTTGGTGAAGTGTTCATTTGAATCATTTTTTCATGTTTTGGCTTGTGAGTTCCAGACTGACCTCAGACTCGGTGTCTTCCCACCTCTGCCTTCCAGGCCTGGGGGTACAGGCACATGCTGCCGTGCCCACTGCTTCTCCCCGAGCCTGGATCTCCAGCAGCGACCTCTAAGAGACGAGGCCTGCTGCCTCCTGTCTCAGAGCACTTCTCTGACAAGTATGGACGGAGGCAGGCCCTTAGCAATGAATCTGAAAACGAGCATTGGGGGGGTAGAGTACACAGACGGGTCTTGTTGGGAGGGATTTAAAAAATGTCTCATTGGATCAGGGTCATGGCTGCATGACCCTGCATGGCTGCATCCAATTCCTAAAAGCAATATTTATGTTTAGAAGCAGGAGCACTTTATAGCTGCTTTAAACAGTGGTGACAGGCTAGAGAGATGGTGCAGGGGTTAAGAGTGCTTGCTATTCCTGCAGAGCACCTTCAGGGCCCCTCAGAACCATCTGTAACTCCAGTTCCATGGGAGCTGATGCCCTCTCTTCTGGCTTCTGTGGGCATTGCATGCAGTTGGAGAACATTTGCCTATGTGGACAAAACCTTTAGCCGGGTGGTGGCAGCAAGTGCCTTTAATCCCAGCACTTGGGAGGCAGAGGCAGATGGATCTCTGTGAGTCTGAGACTACCCTAGTCTACAGAGTGGGTTCCAGGACACCCAAGGCTACACAGAGAAGTCCTGTCTTGAACAATACCCAAATAAACAAACCTTTAAAAAAAATAAAACAGGTAAAGAGCCTCTATATAGCTAGGGAAGAATTATCTAGGAAGAATGGCCATGTGCTCACGGGCACAGGTGTGTGCTCATGGGCACTCGTGGGGAGTTTCAGGAAAGCAGGGGAGAGGGGCTGAAAACAGGTAAGAGAAATGACAAGGGAAAGAGACAGAGAATGAGCCAAGTCTCTGTTCAGTGTTAGGCAGAATGTGTTGGAGTCTGGGCTGGACCCTGGAGGCAGGGACCTCCCAGCAGGGCAGGGGCAGGAGCGGGGGGGCGGGTGTTTTCTTGAGTTTTCACACATGCCCTGTGCACTCAGGTGCTCTTGCTCATCAGTAGTGTCGTGTCTTCTCTTTTGAAGATAAGGTGTGGAGAACAGATGGCATCAACAACGTTTTTTATGACCGACATGGCAGGCTCATCACCTTCACCCTGGATACATTGGGCCCTGTGACCCTGATGCAGGATGCCCACATCCTCATGCCCTACAAGTCCTGGGAGCTGAGACCCCTCCGTGTGAACGAAGTCCTTTTGACCGTGACTACGGTTTTCACTGAACTCCAGATCCATATCAAAGTGAGTGACTTCTCAGCTGGCCCTGGGGTAGGTAGCCCAGCAGCAAGCGTGCGTGTCAGATGTCCCTGCAGCTCTGACTTCTCAATGAAGTTCATGGAGTGACCAGCAGACAGGTGTAAGGGTGAGGCTCCACCTTGTTTCCCGGCTCACGAGGGACGGGTCAGTCAGTACAGCAAGACTACCTCGGAAAGCTCAGGGTGTTTGATGTGCCAGGAATGGCGGCCTCACTCTAGCTTTTAAGGCTCATCTTGCTGAGGCACCCTTCGGAAGTACACAGCCCTAGAAACCCCAGAGAAGTGGGTTTGTGTTGCAGGGCTGGAGGCAGGGACAGAAGATTCACTGTGATGGGCCTAGGGGACTTTCCCCGCAGCTGGAGCTGCATTAAAGCAGACTGATGATGAGGTGTGACCCTGTGGTTACTTACACTCACTGCTGAGTTTTGTAATATGCAAAATTCAGTTGCTTTAGAAAGAGCTGGAACTCCGTCTGAACACAGCAGAAAGACTAACAGGCCATCGGGCTTCAGAAGCACAGCACAGGCGTAGTGTCAGACCTTTAGGCGTAGAAGCCTGCAGGCAGAGTGCTGTGAGCTCTTGGGCAGCCAGAGCCATACTGTGACCCTGTCTCAAACAAACAAACAAAAACAAACAAACAAACAAACCAGCAAACTCACTAAGTAAGTGAGTAAGTGAACGTGGGCTTATTGGACATCTCAGGATTGTCACTATGATAAAGGCTCCTCAGTTTGATAGGAGATGGTTGGCTTTCCCATGAGAGCACAGGGTATTGCCTGGCCAGGCATCAAGTCAGGCTCACAACCACCCCATCCCGAAGTCGGAAGACGCTGTGTGTGACTCTCGTCTGACGGGCAGTGTTCATTCATGAGCATGCAGGTAGTAGTGTGTGTTCAGGTCAGGGTTTACAGGCTGCTCAAGCACGTGGTGACTAACCCTTAAGATGCAGCTGTTCCAAACTGACGGGCGCTGGAATGGGATTATATGCCAGATTTTGAGCATTTGATATGGAAAAAAAAGACTCCATTTTTACACTGAATAGATACTGATATCTCTTAGATATAATAGGGTAAGTAGCCAGTACTATTAACATAAGGAACACAGAAGCACAAACTCCATACACCTTCAAAACTGGACAGTTTACAGAACGTGCAAGAACAATCCCTATGAGTACAGTCACGGTTGATTTATTGGCTATTTAATTCAGAATGAACACACTGTGCTGTCATAAGACATTCTCCCTAATCTCTCAAGCACGCAGAGGGAGCCTGGGAAGTGGGTGAGCTGTCTCAGTGGTGATGGGGCGCTGTGAGTGAGCTGTCTCAGTGGTGATGGGGCGCTGTGAGTAAGCTGTCTCAGTGGTGATGGGATGCTGTGTCAGAACACACAGATCAGGCCCAAGACACACCAGACACATTAGTTAGTGCAGAGTGGCCTGGGAGAAGGCCAGACCTGGAAAAATAATAACTGTCTCCTTTTCCCTTCTGAACATCTAGGAAAATCTCTGCATGTTAGCCTCAATCAAACTGGAGAACCAAGACCACTTGCCTCACTTAAAGGGAAAATGGATGACACCCATACCCTTCATCCTGGCTTTGAAAGAAGCTGGGCTGAACATCTTCCCTTCTGTGTACTCCCATTTTTATGTCACCCACAACAATAAGGCAAGAATGTGTCTCTGTAGAGTTGATGCGGTGGGAACCTAGAATGCCGTTGCAATTCAACTTCATCAGGAAAAGATCGGAAGCCTGGGGTTCCCCTCTAGTTCAATACTTTCCCTAAGAACTGTTGTAGCAAGCGGACCGGCCATCTACACCGCCACTGTAGCAAAAGCAGCCCCAGCTACTGCTCAGTTTGCCTATTCCCTTTTCCAGCGCTGGGTCGAAAGTGGGGCTGTATCTTCTTACTAGTTACACATGGGCCAGCAGCCTGCAAAACTGTCATGGTTTCCCAGCCTAGGCCTCATGTCTGGGTGCTGCTCCGTGCTCCCCAGAGCGGTTTAGTTCAGGAGATCCTGGGTGTGATCTGAGGCTCCTGGAGAACAGGCCCTGCCGATGGCTCTAGCATCCAGCCAGGCAGTGGAGTGCAGGTGCTTGGTAAAGCCCATGCTGGTAACCAAAGACACAGGCGCTCAGTCACGGAGGGCGCGTCTGTAGGCAGACGAGTTCTGGGCCAGAGAACACATATGCTGCCTTCCAGGGCTTTTCCACTTGTCACTCCTGAACCTCAGGGTGTGGACACGAATGCATAGGTGGAAAAGGCCATGTCAGTGACTCTGACACAGTGAACTATGCTTACTGCCCTGCTCCTGTCTCTGTGCTGGGAGTGACATTCTAGCAGAGAGAGAAGCACGACTGAAACGGTCCTGCACACTAAAAAGGCCAGACGAAGAGTAGGGCAGTGTAAGTTCTCAGCAGGGTTCGGGGAGAGCCTGGACTGCAGGGCGTGTGGCACCCAAACCTGGGAGGGGGGTGCAGCCCTCAGGGTCTCTGAGGTGAGGGGCTCTTTCTGCCATGAGGCCTGATGCTGCTCTGACCAGGAAGGAAGCAGTAGGTCAGTTCCCAGGCGTCAGCTCCCAGCAGCTCCTGTGGGTGCTGTTTGCCTGGGTGAGTGTGCAGAAAAGGAAGCCAGTGCCTAATTTGAGAGCAGAGTCACAGAATCTGGCTTAAATTTGAAATGAACCCTGTGGTGTCAGGACAGTCTACAGAGGGCTCTGCCAGGGAGGAATCTTGACAGAAGCCAGGAAGACTGACTGACTGTCTCCCGTGGACAGGTGTCCCTGTTGGAAGTGAAGGCCTATCGGCAAATGGCTCTATTAAGCTCGGCCTTCAAGTTTGGCCGGAGCAGATGGAACACAGTCTCCAACACCACAAGAGTTGTATTTCAGGTAAAGTCTGCAGAATCCATGACACTACCTTGCCTTGCAAAGAGAAAGCGCTCAGGAACTGAGCGCAGCCTCCTTCCCTCACAAGGAGGTAAAGGCGGAATGTTGTCAAATGCTGAGTTCTAGCTAGGCAGACCTTTATTGCCTATACCATTCCCAGTGCCATAATGCCATGACCTCATGTCTGTGTTGACTCAGAACAAATGGGAAAGCTGTGTGTGTGTGTGTGTGTGTGTGTGTGTGTGTGTGTGTGTGTGTGT